TTATTATTTACTTTATTTTGTAGTTTTATTGCGATTGACGAAAGAAATAATGAAGTTGTATCTGAAGCTCAGACAATTTCACAGAAGAGACAAGTTCCTCATCAATATAGTATTCTTCAATCTTCGGTGTCTCATCAATGTAGTATTGGGCTTCAATCTTCGGTGTCAAAGTCAATGCAAAGTATTTCGCCACGTTAGTAAAAAACAAAATGGCATATTTTAATATGAAATAATTTATCTAATATTTTTTGTTATATCATTTGCAGTTTCATATTTTAAAAGATCAAGCAGATCAAATGAACTTTCGTCAAGGCTGTCATGTATGGAAGAGGAAACAGGGATAATTTCAATGAGGTCAGAAATAAATTTTTCATGTGTTATATATGCGATTGAATATTTTGTTCATTATTATTATTTCAATTAGTGCGTTCGACAATCGAAAAATTGTAATCGAACATAGAGAACCACATACTGAAAATCTATATGAATTTTTAAGTCTACAATCATTTGATGGTAAATTCTTGCCAAACGCATCATTTTATAATTTTTTTTATAAAAATAATGTAAATGATTTTCTTGATTTAATACAAGAAATCAAAAGAGAAGGTGATATTGAAGAATTTGAAGAAATATTAACTACTTGTATTGCTATAGCTTATCTTGAAGTTGTTTTATTTGAAAAATTTAAGGATGAATGTGAAATGTGTCATGAAAAGGCTTGTAAATGCTTTAAAGAAAATGGTTGGAGATGAAGAGAAAGAAAAAATTATTATTGATAAAGCTAAAGAATGGATTAAAATTGGGTGGGTGAAAAGAAAGATATGTTTGATAAAGCTAGAAAATGGGTTAAAAGTTTGGTGGGTATATAACGTAATGAAGTTAAATGTGCTTTTTTGACAGTATATTAGTTCGATGTACATTTATTTTATTGTAAATCTTAAGCAATGTTTCATAAAATTATAAAATAATTTATTGATTATGTTAAAAAAAGCTATACCAATATTCGTTAATTTACAAATAAAAATTTAAAATAAAAATCTGTGTAAAGTAAATTTCTAAAAAATTGTAGTATTTATTATACTATTAATCAAAGCTACAGTATATCAGAATTACAAAAAGTCTTCAATAATAAAATTTTATAAGATATCATACAGGTCAGCGCTTTCAAAATCATATTTAAAATCCCATTTTTTTCAAAAAGAGAAATCTTAACCTAGACCGGGTGTTCAGATCATTATCCTAGACCTCCCAAATTTGATTTTCTTTTTTTTTCAAACTACAGTTCAAGGTTGTTTTTATTGAGAATTTTTTTACCAACGTTTAATATCTATTGTTGAAATGAATTTTGCTAAAGGCTATTATACCAATTTTTATTAACCTGGTACATTTAGTGTAGTGTTTATGAAGTATCAAAAAAAAATCAATAAATTTTTTTCTTCGCTTATAACTGCGCATCTGTAGTGAAATTTCTTGAAATTCCGCAGTAAGATGTAATTATGTAAGTTAAAGAATGAAGTCACGAGATAGTGAGCATTGGTTGCGACCTACTATTTAATATTACCAAATTTTGAAAATCATTGTAAAATGAAATTTCTTCAATTATAAATAAATAACTAATGTCGTCTTCAATTTTAAATTTGTAAAAAAAAAAAAGAAATGGAGAATTTCTCAAAATTTACACGCAAGTCGTTTCTATCTCATTACACTTTTGTTGAGAAATTATTTATTGTTGCTTATATTCTTGAATGTACCATAATTGTCATTTCAAGCATCTATGTAGCAATTAGTTTAAAATCATTACGAATATTGGTTTTAATGTTTCCTGAAATTTATTGTAAAATATCCGGATTTGTAGCAGTATGTTATAAATAATTTTCATTTTTTCTTCTGTTTACCATATTTACCTAAATAAAATTTAAACGATTTGTATAGTTACAACAACGATCAATATTACATGGCATCATAAATTTCTTTCATAGGATTTTTATAATTGCCACATTGTTATTTATCGCTTTAAGAGTTCTTCTGGGGTGTATTAATGTCGTTTGTCTTGATTTCGCAGCACAGGATGACAGATTGAAAGAGATAAAAGAGTATTCTTTTAATTATCTTGCTGCTTGTGTTACTTTATATTCGTCATTTACTATTTATTACTTGATCTTAATCATTAATATGTGGAAAAGAAGTATGTTTAAATATCATTCAAATAAATAATTTTTTTTTTTTTGTAATATAAATTTAAATCTTAACTTGTTGGAATTTCTTTTCGGTTAAGGATTTGGCCAGTAATAAAAGATTTGAAAATCACAAAAAAAGAACAAATTAAAAGTAAGCATAGTATTCTAAACGATTCATGGTTGCATTTATATTTAACATTCATAAATTATATCGTTTTATACTATTTTTAATAGAAATGTATAAAACCTATCAAATATATCTAATTTTTACACATGCACAGGCATTACATTTTGGAAATTTAGCATATTTAATATGGTTTAAAAAATTTTCAAGATTTTATGGGTACTACTTCAAATTAGGAATCGATCACAAAATATCATATTATCAATTATTTCCATGTTTTTTAATTCTTCAACTATATGTTGCATTCATTCCAAAGGCGGTAATGTGATTTGTTTCACCTTAAATAATTTTTTGTACATTTCATTAATTTAATTTGTGATTTTTTTTTCTTTTATCTAGATTAGAGACGAATCACATAAATTAATGATCATTATATATATCGGCAATGCTTATGTACTTTATTATATCATCGAAAATCTCTATAATTACTGTTCAAATTTCTTATTAAATGAACATATATGTGGATTTAAATACTTTATTCAACATGATCCATGGTTTCAAATAGTATTTGTTTTAAGTAAGATTAATTCGTTTATTATTACGTTTGAATAA